TGGGAAAAACAATTAATTAAGAACTTTTTCTTTAGATAGAATTTTGGACTCGTTAACCATTATTTCACCGACTAAAGTAATGAATGTAATTGGTAAGTATCTGCAGGAAATTCAATTAGGACTAAATCAGAAATTAAGCAACCGGGTTCAAATTTCTCTTTATGTCCATATTGCAAACATGATTGAACGAATTATTCGTGGAAATGAAATAAAAGAATATAACGGAGATAATTCGACAATTGTTAGGGATCACTGCTTTAGTGTTTTAAAAAAATACAATAGTGTGCTTGAAGGTCGCTTTTCGATTAAAGTTAATGATCCTGAAACAGCCTACATCAGGGACTTAATTGTACATCACTAATTTAGCCACACTAAGATGGCACGCTTTTTGCTATTAAGTAACTAGGTAACAAAGAACAAGTTATTTAAAGGAGGATTATATGTGAAAACAATTATTTTGGCCACACATGGCAACTTAAGTTTTGAGTTTAAAAAAACAGCAGAATTAATCGTAGGAAATACGACTAATATAAAGTGTTTTGGGATGACTAAGGACAAATCTGCTAGTCAAGGTAAAAAAGAACTAGTAGAAATGATCAATTCCGCTGGCAATACAGAATTAATCATATTGACTGATTTATTCGGCGGTAGTGTAACCAACATTTGTACGGAATTGCTGTTAGAAAAAGATAATTTTGAATTACTGACTGGACTTAATTTGCCGATGTTATTAACTTTGCTGACGATTGATACTAATGAACTAAAAATGTCTGAGCTAATTAGAAAATTGGAACATGCGGGCATGGCAGGAGTAATTAATGTTGGCCAGAAGGTGCGAGAAAGGATAGGTAACAATGCTTAAATTAGTTCGCGTGGATGAGCGGCTTTTGCATGGACAAGTAGCTATTGGGTGGACATCCAATTCAGGTGCTAACACAATATTGGTGGCAAATGACGAGGCACAAAAAGACCAAGTCAAAGCAATGGCACTGAACTTAGCCAAGCCGACGGGGGTAAAACTGTATATTCGTGGTGTCGAAGAATCAGGAAAAATTGTTGAGAAATTCGCTGCAGCCAAGAAAGCCAAGTATTGGTTTTAGTAAGGACAATTCAGGATGCCTTGAAGCTAATTAAAGGAGCTAACGGGACAATTCAGGAATTAAATGTTGGTGGTCTGAAATATGAGCAGGGAAAAAGAAAATTAAATGACTATGTTGCGGTTTCTGACCAGGATATTTCCGACTTAAAAGCAATTCAAAAAATGGGAGTTGAATTAGATTTTCGAATGCTGCCACGTGATAAAAAAATAAGTCTCAGTGATTTACTTAAGGAGTGATGACTTATGCTTCAGGCTTTATTAGTAGGCTTAATAGCAGGAATTGGAATTTTAGATGAACGTGTATTGGGCGCGACATTATTTGGCCGCCCAATTGTTTTAAGTGTTTTTGTAGGACTAGTTTTTAGGAGATATTAAGCAGGGAATTATTATTGGTGCACAACTAGAGCTTATTTGGATGGGAATAGCAGGAATAGGTGTTTCAACGCCACCCGATTACGTTACTGGGGGAGTGATTGGAACAGCATTAGCAATTATTTCTCATCGTGGTATAGGTGTAGCTCTGACAATTGCAGTTCCCGTTGCAGTTTTGGCTGCCAATTTGGGGACCTTAGTTCGAGTAGTAAACTTATGGTTTTCGCATAAGGCAGATAAGTATGCGGAAACAGCTAACTTTAAGGGCGTAAACATGATGTTACTCTTACCAACTATTCTATTCTTCTTGAGTACCTTTATTCCAACCTTTTTAGCAATGCTGCTTGGTGCTTCCAAAATTAACATTATTATCAATGCAATTCCAAAGGTTATTTTGGAAGGATTGACAGTTGCTGGCAATTTGCTACCGGCCGTTGGGTTTGCACTACTTTTAGATATGTTATTTTCCAAAAAATGTTTGTCTTTTTCTTCTTAGGATTTTTAATGTGTTCTTATTTAAAGCTAAATATTACTGGAATAGCGGTTATTGCTGTTTGTTTAGCAATAATAATTGTGCTGTTTGGTGGAAATAATAAGGATAAAGCGGAAAAAGAAAATAAGAAAAGCGG